AACCACTTGTGGGCCTTGGACTCTCCAAGTGTACTCTTCCGTTGATTATAATTAGTTGGGAATGGTATAGGATATAGAAAATATAAAATTATATTTTTATAGCTATCAACAATGGCACAACTTGTAAATAAATCAAAATGTAGTTAAAGTACTTGAAAAGTTACATCTTTATGTTAATGCATCGTAAGTTTGTTCTTTATTTAGTGAGTGTATACCAACATTTGTGGTGGCCATCGCCGCATTTGCTTCCAGCTTTTTCCCTGTATATTTTTTATTTTCCCCTCTCTATTTTTTATTTTAAAACATGCACTAAATGCTCCCCTTGCGGCAATTTAATAAATATAAAAGCCAAGCCAGCGGCTTAAGCACAACCCACACACACAGCCATTACTGGTTAGTCCAGGGGCGGCTTTCATTAGAAGGAAAACTGCATTAATTTCTATAGAATTTCATTTCAAACGAAAAGGGAAATGGCAAACAAACAGGAAACCAATTAAAAACTAGTTAATTTTGCAATTAAAAGCTAAGTACTATTAATCTAAAAATATACATCTTAATGGTATTGATTTTTTAAATACGGCTTAGGCATATGTTGTAAAATAATATTTATTAGACTTACCTGCTTTAAATATTTTGTATATTTCAGGGTATAGTTCTTCTTGTTAAGACAAGTTAAATACATTTTCAACACAATTTTAATATATATATTTTTAAGGTATAGACTTCACAGTCATGTTTTTTTTGCCTAAAACAAATACATTTCCTCGCATTCGAAAGGCTGCCTTTCACCAGGACTTCTTCCCCAAACGTCCTGAATTCCGTTCCTGGACTCCGTGCCTGCATTAAATTTTCACTATTTTTGCAGCCCAGGGAAATGGTGGAAAGGTGGGCAAGGTAGGGAAAAAAGTCGGCGGCGCCATTGGCCACGTCAATTGAATGGTAGGCGGAAAGCCAAAAGTGTTGGCCATAAGTCAGAAAACATGAATAACAAATCAATTCAGTTTTAACGGTGCTGCAAATTCCTCAGCACACACAGAGAGACAGGGCAGGAGGACCAAGCCCATTCGGAAGGTGAGAAAACGAGGTGTTGAAAGCGGCAAAAAGGAGTGCTGGAGCGGGGAGTGCGGGGCAAGACGGAAAGCTGAGGAAACTCCTCCACACACACACACACACATAGCCGGGGTGTTAATGGCGCAGGCTGGGCGTCGGGCATTTTGAATTTTTAATGGAAAATGGCCCGCCTGCTTACACATTGCCTCCTCCGCCCCCGTTTCCTTTCCCCCGCTTGCGTCTGTTCCACATAGTATATATTTTTTTAGGCATGTTTGCATACACTTACGGCCAGCAAACTATGCATATGCATGTGTGTCCTATGCGAGTGTGTGTTTGGGGGGGGGTTCTAAAGCCTCCTCCGCCCTCTGGCGGCCATTGCCCCGACCCCTTCTTTTCCGTGGGCCCTCTTTTTTATGCCCCCGCCGGCAAAATTGTCCGGTAATAAATTTTCAGCGTTTCCTGCCGACAAAGCGCCGCACTTTACAACACTTTTGGCATAAACAAACAAACACGTTGCAGTTAGAGAAATATTTTGTAATTTATATTTATTTATTCCTGGAAATATTAACACTATAATAATATAGAAAGAAACAGCTTAGGCATTTATTTTCTTCTTTAAATAACTAACAATTTAAATAATATTCGATATATTTCTCATGAACCTTGCGACCAGGGCTATATCAAAGGATGTTTTTGTGAGAACTTCTGAATTTATAAAATCTTACGAAAAAGAGAAGTAAAAACAACTGACAATAGTTTCTCTTTTTTATTTAGAAATAAATCATAAATATATATAAAACAAGAAGAGAAACTGATTTTGGGAAGCCATATTGATCATTACAAAGTTTAAAACATTCGTATTGCTTAAATAGATATTTTGATATGACAATTTTGTCGTCAAAATCAATATTTCAAAATCTCACAACTGAGCCAAAAACAAGTTCATTTTAATTTGGAAAGCACTCCTATCTTAGTTTTTGGTAGTTTAATAAATCTTCATACTCGAATATTCATTTAAAAAAATTAGGATTTTTATAAATTTTTGGCAATTTTAATGATGTAACCCCTTATAAAATTTTCAAATTTTTGAAAAAAAAAATTTTTCCCGGACATAGTCAGATCAACTTGGCTTTTCATGCTGATCCAGAATATATATGATTTATAGGGTCGGAAATGATTCCTTCACTTATTTCCAAGCTTCTGACTAAAATTATTAGATAATTTAATTAAATGTGCACATTTTTAGCATAAACCCCAAGATAACTCTGTAAATTGTTTACCAATTAAAGTGATATTTTTTCTCAGTATGCGTCTGTGTGTTTCGCTGTCCATGCGTGTGAAAGGAGGTGTGTGTGCGAGTGTGTGTGTGGCTGTAGTGGTGGCCATGTAACGGAAGTTAAGTACACACTAAGTTGAACTCGTGCGCTTGTAGCGGCGCTTCCTTCATATGTTTTGATACTCTCCATCACACACACACGCACCACACCTCACCTCTTGCCCCGGAAAACTCAGCACCGCATTCTGCCCCCTCGGAAAACACCTCTCTTCCGCTATTTGCTTGCAGGTGAAAATGTTTGAGATTCTGCCGGCGCTGTCCAAAAGCTTAGAACAAAACTTTTCTGGTATGCCATCAACATTGATGTCCTCCGTATTTCCCTTACCCTTTCTCCTAAGCCCTGCTTTTCCCGCTTTTCTCACCCTTCAGTCCCCCTCCCCCTGCCCATTAATGCCCGCCGAAAGGGTGAGTGTGTTAAGTATGTTTTTTGAGTAATTCGTGTAGACAAGAGCTGCTGTTTTAAAAGAGGAGCACAATGGGAGATGCCCGCTCCTCCCCTACCAAATGTCCTTCGCCAGTCCTGGGATATTTATGTGCTGGGCAAATGTTATTATAAATTACCCGAAAGTTTGAAACTGAGATGTGAGAAGAGTTTAGGGAACCGACGAACTCTGATTTATATTCTTAATTGTAATTAGCAGGGGAATCTTATAAGGATTTTAATTAAGAATATATGTATATCTATAGTAGGTATGTTTCCCAAACAGTACCTATGTTTTATCCGAAATTTTGATTCTTTTTGAGGGACTTTATAACTAAAACCTTAAAATAGATATCTAGCTACTATTTTGGAACCTTCCATCTCTATTTTCCTGACATTAGTTCCACACTTTCCTCCATGGGGGACAACATCAGCAGGTATTCGGCTCAAGTGTTGGTAAGCTGGCTTCGTTGTTAATAGAACACTTGACAACACTGGAGTATTATGCGGGGGAGGTCCTGTTCTTAAAGGACCTGGTGTTCAGGTGTGCGTGTGTGAGGTGCCTGCTTGTGTCTGTTTATGTAGTACCCTCATTAACTGTCATTACACAATTTCCATAAAAAAAGAAATGTGTACACAAGTTTAGTTTTCCCCAGCCCTGGGGCTCCAGTGCAAAAGTTGCCTCTCCTCTCCACTTATTTCTCCCTAGTATATGCCACCTCCCGCCCCCACGATGTGTGCTTCCGAGTCTTTGTTTGTCTTTAGGAAAAAAACTTTTTAAATTGTGTTAAATATTCCATTAAACAGAAAGCTTTTTGTATGCAGTTGCAAAAAATAAAATAAAAAAATAAAGGGGAAAATAAAAAAACTGTCAGTGGTAGTGATAGAAGAAGAAGGGAAGGCGCGTGCCGCAGATAAGTTGCCACAGTTAAGGGAAATACAGAGAGAGAATGAATTATACGATAATCAGTGGGATTTGTTGCCCTTTTCTTTGGTTTATGATAAGGAGAAGAAGGATTTTCCAGGTTATATTATTACAATTTCAAACCAATCACAGAAAACAGGTATTCAAAGTGGTAACAGTATGCCAAACTTCGTATGGTTAATGGAAAATGATGAACAACTTTGACTAAACTAACAGCAAGAAATTTCAATTCTTTTTCTTAACGTGTATTGCAGGGGAGTGGCATTCGATCACCCTTCCCACGCAGACAAACCAACATACACTCTCTCCAATAAGCCAGGAATTTTTATTATAATTTTATGCTCAAATGCATGCCGCATTATTTTACACAAAAAGGCAGAAGGCGGTGCGTTGTGGGAAACTTTGGCGAGCGAGCCATCAAGTTTATTGCGGGGCTTAGGCAGCCGCCGTGTTGGAGCATTAATTGAGCCGAGCGGGGCTTTTAAAATAATTGCCAACATGCAAGTTTTCAGTTTTATGCCGCGGTCTATTCGAATCCGAATCAGATATGTCCGACTAACAAATGTGCGGAAATATTTCAATGGAATAGCACTTTGCACAAATATTAATTTCCGCATTGGTGTGTAGGTGTGCGCCTTCGATAGGAGACCTAATTGCAGGACTAAGGCAGGTGTAAAGTATCTTGATTACTTAGTAAATTATTATTGATCCGATCGCTTTTAGTGAGATTTAGATATGAACTACTTTTGTTCTTCCTGTCTGTATTATATAAGTTTAATTTTAGAATTATATCCTTTTATATACTTAACACATATCTCCTTTTACTCAATTAATTTAAAAAATGTGCAATGTTTTATTTTTTCAATAATGTTGAGTCTTATTTAACATTACATAACATAACATAATTATCCTTAATCTGATTTGCGTTTCTATCTTCAACAAAAACCACAAAGCAATTGTTTTTTTCAAATTCAAATTACCCGCCAATTGTCCACAAGCAACATGCCGGCTGACAGCAAAACAACCCTGTTAACGCAGGCGCTTTGGCCATTTTTAGGACCATTTATTAACGCTTCGTTCGATGAAATAAAATAGTAATAAAATTAATGACTATTTTAAAACGACTTTAATATAATGATATATACAATAAAAAATACCGAAGAACATCATTTTGCGCTTCCAAAACAGCGCGATATATACATTTATTTTCGCATTGCAATGTATCGATATACCGATAATTCGATACATTTTTAACACCGAACAGAGTAGACAGCAAAGAGCAAAGAAAATGTATAATTTACATGTATAATTTAATTACACTTAGTTGTTCGTCGTGCCAGATTCCCAATTCTCGTTAATATTCCGCCATAGAGCGCGCAACAGAACGCGGCAACTGGTGAAAAGCAGCACAACTGCCCGCCGCCGCCTCCTCTCGCTTCCCTTCGATTAGCAAGCCGACGACGACGAAGAAGAAGAAGCGCCCAAGAGAAAGAAAACGGGAACGCAGCTGCAAGGAAGGAAATCGAGGAAAACTCGGGGAGGAAAATGAAAAGGAAACTGGGCCGAGGGGCGACGCTGGCGTTGCTGTTCGCCAGCGGATTGCTGCTAATTGCTGCATCCCACCAAGCGGCCGCCGCCGAACCAGCATCTGACTCCGATGACTTCGAGGATGGCTTTGTGGAAGATGTTCAGGTGAGTTGCTATCCGAAAAAAAAAACACGAGAAAAAAGTACACGTCAGTGTGGAAGCGACTAGAAAAGCACGCTGATGTGTTGAGCAGCGGGTGGCTCAGTGGGTTAGGGGGTGACGGGGACGGAGCGGCCGGCTTTTCGATTTTTATGACCCAAAAAATTAGCATGTGAGTTTTCAGCGAGATTAGTGCGAGGGAAACTGTGTTTACACACAGTCGGAGGCAAGATAATAGGCGCGGTGATAAGGAGCGCATTTTATATGAAGTTACGGCGTTTCGTTAGAATTCTGAAGTTTTAATTCAAGTATTAATTTTTAAAACTCTGAAATTATTTATTATAACAAATAAATGGAATAATTAAAATGGTGCTGCTAATACTCCGCCCTCGATGGTAACTTCTCCGAGGCTGAAATCCACGTCTGCCCATTGTCTCTCTCTCTCTTCTGCTTTATCACTCTCGCCCGTCGCTGACAACCGCGTGTTTCTTGGATTTTATCGCACCTTATCTAATGCTCCCACATGTGAATCTCTTTCTCAGGAGGAACTGCCCGCCGGCGTCGACGAAAACGGCGAGGAGAAGCTGGCCTACGAGAGCCCAGAGATCGATCCCAAGAAATTCCACTTCGCCGATCACTTTGACGACGTGGAGGCATCCCGGAAGAAGTGGGTGCTGTCGCAGGCCAAGAAGGATGACATAGCGGAGGAGATCTCGAAGTATGATGGACTTTGGAACTGGGAGTCGCCGCAGCGCATCGTTTGGGCGAATGATCTGGGCCTGGTGCTCAAGTCAAAGGCCAAGCACGCGGCCATCTCAGCGCCGCTGCGTAAGCCCTTTGATTTCAAGCAAGACAAGCCACTGGTGGTTCAGTACGAGGTCACGTTGCAGGTTCGTCCATTGCTCAATGGGATTGCATCAGCCGGCGCGGCTGGGCAAATCCAATTAATACCCGCTTACTGACCCAATTCCGCTTTCCCTTCCACCTTCTAGGAGGGTCAGGAGTGCGGCGGCTCGTATCTAAAGCTCCTTTCCGCCGGCAAAGACACCGAGCAGCTGACGGCCGTAAGTAGTGTGCGGGAGGGCATTGCCCCCATGAGCCACGAAACGCGAAACAACCCCCGAATCCACTGTTTTTGGTTTTTACTCCGTAGTTCAATGACAAGACACCCTACACCATCATGTTCGGACCGGACAAGTGCGGCAACGATGTGAAAATGCACTTCATATTCCGGCATGTCAATCCAATTAATGGCACCATTACCGAGAAGCACTGCAACAAGCCCAAGTGAGTGTCGTTCTATTTGAAATGGAAACGAATGAGCGTCAAGCGTTTCGAATCGTTCAAATTTAAATATCACGAAAAATAGCAATAGCAGTCAAAAGTTCGGAGTTGGGGCAGGTTGGCCTTTGTCTTGGAACTTGGCTATGGAACAATGCGACTCGTAATGCCCATATAATACCTAGAGTACAATAGATCAATTGTTTATACCCCTTGTTCGGCAGCCTGCTTGCACACCTGAAAGCTGAGCTAATATATATTGTGATTCATAATTTGTATAAATGTTTGGCCAAACGAAACGTAATACTCACTGATAACAGCAGGCTACGTGTTGCCTTTCGTGGACTCTTGTCCCCTGCCATGATGTCTGCTGATTTTCTGCAGTATCTGCCGCTGATAAGGCATCTATTTATGTTGTTCAACAGCCAATCATTCGGTCATTCGTCTTTGTAGGAACCGTTTGGAAGAGCCCTTCAAGGACAAGCTGCCCCATCTGTATCAGCTGGTGGTGCGTCCCGACAACAGCTTCGAGATCCGCGTGGATCACAAGATCATCAACGAGGGCTCGCTGCTGACCGATTTCAAGCCAGCCGTCAATCCGCCAGCAGAGATCGACGACCCCAATGACAAGAAGCCCGAGGCGTGGGATGAGCGTGAGAAGATCCCAGATCCCACGGCCCACAAGCCCGACGATTGGGATGAGGATGCGCCGCCACAGTTGCCCGATGCCGATGCCGTCATGCCCGATGGTTGGCTGGAGGAGGAGCCCGATATGATCTTTGATCCTACGGCCAGCAAACCGGAAGATTGGGATGCCGAAATCGATGGCGAATGGGAGGCTCCGCTGGTGGACAATCCCGTTTGCGAGAAGGCCGCCGGATGTGGCAAGTGGAAGGCGCCGCTCATACCCAATCCCAACTACAAAGGCAAGTGGAGGGCACCGATGATCGAGAACCCGAACTATCAGGGCAAATGGGCGCCCAAGAAGATTGCCAACCCCGATTTCTTTGAGGATCTGAAGCCCTTCCAGATGACGCCAATTGTAAGTGGACCCTAGAGCATTGTAAATTCGTTGACTACAATCGTTTGTTCCCTTTCTTTTTACCCCATTTAGAGCGCTGTCGGCCTGGAACTGTGGTCCATGTCCAGCGACATTTTGTTTGACAATCTCATCATCACGGACGATGTGGAGGTGGCCCGCGACTTTGCCGCCAATAGCTTTGACATCAAGCGGCGCTATATAGATCGCGAATCGGTGAGTTAATGTAACAACCCTTGGTATCCTTCTTCTTTCCCACAAGAACACACAGAGACATTTAAAGAAATCGTTTTGATCGCTGCAAAAAGAAAACCTTCTGGCACCGCCTCATGCGCCGGATGAACTACAAGCCCGGCTGGTGGGCCCTGTACTTTCTGTACCTGCTCATCCCGGCCAGCTGCTACGTCTTCTATCTTTACAGACGCGCCAAAGAGGTGCTGGCCCCAGGCCTTAAATTTTGCTTCCTAAATTAGAAATTTGAAAAACCACAGCCACACACTCACACACCCTCATCTTGAACCCTTGCACCATGGCACTTGTAATTGCTATTGCTATCTTTTGGCTTTTCCCATTTCGTGTAGGACTCATTCGTGAATAAGGTAGTGGAGCTAGCCAAGGCCTATCCCTCGATCTGGGGCATTGGTCTGGTGGCCATTGTGGCATTGGTTGCCATCACCATTTACCTTAGATTTGGTTCGGCCAAGAGTCAGGTAAATGTTGCTTGATTAAAGCTTATCCCTGGTTAAGCTCCGAGGATGTTCTAATCCCTGTTTATGTCCCGTGTAGGACTCGGCTGCCAAGAAGGCCGCCGCCGAGGCCAAGAAGTCCGATGAGCTGCAGCCCGATGACGATGAAGAGCCCGAGGCCGATGCCGATGAAGATGTGGAGGAAGGCAGCGATCGGGCTGCCGGTGATTCCAGCAAGGAGAGCACGCCGCTGTCCGCTAGTCCCAAGAAGAAGAACAAAAAGTCTGATTTAGATGATAATGTGGAGATGACCAAGCCGGAGGAGAGTCCTGAAGAGCCCGCACAGACTGAGGTGGGTTAAAAATTCCTTATTTTAATATCCTTGAAGGGTATTATATTTTAATCAGAAGCTTGTAAGTCTGTAAGAAGTCATTTCCGACCCTATAAACCATATATATTCTTGATCAGCACCAACAGGCGAATCTATCTAGCCATCTTAGGAAGAAAAATAAATTTTTGAAATTTTTTCAAAATTTGAAAATTTTATAAGGGGTTACATCATTAAAATTGTCAAAAATCGATAAAAATCCTAAATTTCTAAAATTGTAAACTGAGTATGCAGATTTAATACTGTAACAAAAACTAGAACAGGAAAGGTTACCGAATTAAAATTAATGCATTTTTGGCTTAGTTATGAGATTTTGAACTTTTGTTTTTACGAAAATTGTCATGTCAAAATATCGAGTTAAATATATTACTTTGTTATGATTGATTTGCTATTAGATCTTATAATTTTGTTGCAAGCTGCAAGGATATGTAAACCTTGACTTCATTTCTTGTTTATTATTTTAATTTCGATTTAAAAAGACTTTGACTTTATACAACTACCATTTCTATTGCAGGAAACCACCACGAAAGCTCGCAAGCGTCAGGCGCGCAAGGAGTAATGCGGGTCATCCCCTCAGATGGACAACAATCTACAAATAAAAATGCAGAAGTTCTATCGAAAAAACTTAATCCAATTCCAAACTGCCAGCGGCAGCAAAACACCAACACCAAACTGCTGGCAAAACTACAAAACCCAAACAACTAGAAATCACCCGCCACAGCATCTCCCTCACACACACGCAGCACCACACACACTACGAGGCAGCCACACGCATACACACAGGCAAAATGGAGAAGAGAACACAAATACACACACTTTACATTTAGTTGCTAACCACGCTTCTCTAGTGCAGGTCTCTAATTTAATTCAATAATTTACGCGGTTCGTTTTAGTCAACTTTGTATACGTATACGTACTTTTGCTGTATTAGCGTTGCATTTCTGTGCTGTTCCCCTTTCCTTTTCCACTCATCCCCCAGCTCCTCCTTCTTCCTTCTCCTTAATTTGTGTAAAAAAGAAGATAAGAGAAACACCAAACTAGACAAAAGCAAACAAAAACCAGAAACAGCAAGCAAACAAAGAGGGAACTAAGGCCGAGAAAAAAATTAAATGGCAGGCAAGCATCTAGTTTAATATTATGTAATTTAAAACGAAATTGAATAGTATGAATAGTTATACTCAAGTTTCCACGTTTTCATTTTGTGTCGAATGAAAATTTACAGCGAAAAATAAAAAACTAAATGTCGAAAAACCAAGAGAACCCCGTGTTTTTACAACCATCCCTTGGAAGCTGAGCGACGGTACTGAGCCGGGACCCACCGGGATTGTTAATTTAAAATGTGAACTCTGCTTTATTTTCAGAGACCAGACCCCAGATGCGAATCGGATTTATTATGCTCGATGGTGCGTGTGGCGTCGACCAGACCAGACCAGACGCCACATTGCATCTGTGCGGTTTTTGGGACATTTTCCCGAAATATATTTCATTATTTAGCTGATTGGTTGATACTACTACAATTGGCGGACGCTGCGGGGGAAGGAAACCCTTGCCCATCCAATCTATTTAACCCACTGATAACATCGACATGTTGGGCCTCCTTTTTTGTCGCTCTGCATATAATTCTATTCAATTTCCTAAGCTCATAAATATGGCCCAGCCCAGCCCAGACAGACAGACAGACGGTCCTTGTTAATGGAATTGTTATGACAACAGTAAACCGATGACGATTTGCATACGCACAAAATCCCTTCGATTGCCAAAAAAGGCGAAAGGGCAATTCAATAAAAAGATTAAACGATTCTAGGTCTAGGTCTGAGCTGGGGTCCATGGATACACTTAAAAGGATTAAAATTTTGCGGCTAGACAGCGCTGCATATTAATATGAAGAACTCATATGTTTGGAAGGGGACGAAATCCGGAAGTCCCATAATTCATGCATAGACAAAGGCCACAAGGGTTGCCACTTGCAGCAGAATAAATAATAAAAGCCACAAAACGCTCGATTCTAATTTTAATAAAAATGTTTTCGTTTTCACAAAGGCAGCAACTTTGCGAACCCTTCAAAAACGGCAGGAAGCATATCTTCTATGGGATTCCGAGTGAACGGTTGGCTGGGGGTCAGCCTGGGATTTCCTTATTGAAGTCTGGATGCCAATTGATGCGTAAGCAAAATAGGACGTCGTCGACGCCATATGTAATGTTATTGCAGGCAGCAGGCCCCACATCTAGCAACCCCATTGGAAAATCAAGAGGAACTCTTGGGGTTGTCCCCGAGGGTTGCTTTACGTATATTTGTCCCCCTCATTACGCGCTATTTTTCGGCAAGTTCCAAGCAATTAAGTCCGGACTTTATCCGATCAAATCGCTAAATGCCCCCGGGTCACGAGATGTATTCCCCTCAAGTTCAGTGCAGAAATTAATTGCCAAGCATTGCAGGCTCGATTTCATCATAAAGATTACGTGCCGCAGATAGAAATTCATAAAAATAAATTGGTTTTTTGAAATAGGATTGTTGGAGATTTATTTGACTTTGATATGGTTTTATTATTGATTTGTGGCAGCCGATAATCGCTGTTATAATTCCATCGAATGTCAATATATTACAGTTCGAGGGCATAGAGAAAAGCGTTGATAATGATAAAACTTTTTAAAGCAGAAGGTAATGTATATTTAAAAAGCCTTTACCAGTGGTGGAAAATGAGATCAGATTTTCTTCCAATAGTCCAATAAAGCGATAAATGAGCATCACTGGTGAAAAGTAAGATGCCATTTTCTCCCAATAAAGCAATATAGCCAAATGAGCATCACTGGTGGTAAGTAAGATGCCATTTTCTCCCAATAGTGCAAAATAGCTAAATGAGCATCACTGATGGCAAGTAAGATGCCATTTTCTCCCAATAGAGCAAAATAGCTAAATGAGCATCACTGGTGACAAGTAAGATGCCATTTTCTCCCAATAGTGCAAAATAGCTAGATGAGCATCACTGGTGGCAAGTAAGATGCCATTTTCTCCCAATATTGCAATATAGCTAGATGAGCATCACTGGTGGCAAGTAAGATGCCATTTTCTCCCAATATTGCAAAATAGCTAGATGAGCATCACTGGTGGCAAGTAAGATGCCATTTTCTCCCAATATTGCAATATAGCTATATGAGCATCACTGATGGCAAGTAAGATGCCATTTTCTCCCAATAGTGCAATATAGCCAAATGAGCATCACTGGTGGTAAGTAAGATGCCATTTTCTCCCAATAGTGCAAAATAGCTAGATGAGCATCACTGATGGCAAGTAAGATGCCATTTTCTCCCAATAGTGCAAAATAGCTAGATGAGCATCACTGATGGCAAGTAAGATGCCATTTTCTCCCAATAGTGCAAAATAGCTAAATGAGCATCACTGATGGCAAGTAAGATACCATTTTCTCCCAATAATGCAAAATAGCTAAATGAGCATCAATGGTGGCAAGTAAAATGTCATTTTCTCCCAATATTGCAATATAGCTAAATGGGTATCACTGGTGGCCACTCAGATTCCGACTAAGCCAAATTTATTAAATTCTTAGTTTGATGTACCAGGCGCGCAGAAGGCAGCAGAAGGTAGATTCACATATTTTATATACGCCTCCTAAAATTATGCTTCACCGTCAAATAGAAGTTTACGTGTCGCCCAAAAGTATGCTTTACATTAAAATAAATTCCTCGTTCTCTATTCTTGGCATTTATTCAATTCTTGGTTTGAAGTACCAGGCGCGCAGAAGGCAGCAGAAGGTAGATTCACATATTTCATATGCCCCTCCTAAAAGTATGCTTCACCATTAAATGGAAGTTTACGTGTCGCCGAAAAGTATGCTTTACATTAAAATAAATTCCGCGTTTTCTATTTTTGGCATTTACGCAGTGAAGGAGTCGTTTCCGACCCTATAAAGTATATATATTCTTGATCAGCGTGGAAAGACGATTCGATCTATCTATGTCAGAAAGGAACAAAATTTTTACCCATTCTTTCGAAAATTTATAAAGGCTTACATCGTTAAAACTGCCAAAAATGTACAAAAAAAATTATTTCTTAATTTAAATTTTGCAGATTTGTTAACTTAAAAAAAACTAGCACAGAAAAGCTTTCCGAATTATGGCTTAGTTATGAGCTATTTCATTATCCAATCAATGATCCCGCGGCTAACCACATTTTTATTTACTAAGATACAATAATAACAGAAATTAAATACCGCATTTTCGCATTTTCTTTATTCAAAGCTTATCCTGCAATCTCCTCATGGACTTTCTTCCCAGCTGCAGATCTTAATTATGAAATCGATGTTTGAAGGCGGCAGTTCATAGCAGTTTTCCAGATCCCATATATCTTCAGGAGCTCAGTAGTACATCGAAGTCTGGTCCCAGCAGCAATAGGCGCCAACATTCCTGGTAGGCAGAGGCAGTCGGCGGCAAGGAGCTTCAGGATATTGAACATTCGCATGGTGAAGAAGTCGAGGCTCGACTGGGGGCTGTCGGTCTGTGAAATGTGATAGAAGCTCGACTGAAGCTCATTGTGAATCCCTCCAGGCGAGATCAGAGTTTATTTTCGCAACTTGCGATAAGAGTGTTGTTTCACAACCAATAAGTGGCATAACATTAATCTTACGAGTTTGGGAAATTTGTTGAAAACAACATAGACTAAATTCGACCCACTGATAACCTAAGCTGTCATCTTAATTAATTGGTCGCCGTGTAAAAACAGGGAACTCGTGAACCGAGCTCGGAATAAATATCTGGAACTGAAGGGCAATAATAAATACAAATTAATTAAATTTTTTAATAGCAACTTACTTTTACACAAATTTACAATTACAAATACATGTCTATGTAATGTAAATTGCATGTCAAGATATCCTTTTTGATGACAGTGGCGACCCCAGGCGACTTTTTCGTTAAATAATTAAAATTCCGCTTACTGAAATTTTGGCGCTAGCTAAAAAGTGTGACCATATTAAACAAATTTAAGGACATTTTAAAGGGGACATTTTAAGTACGTATTTTACATGGTTGATGGCCGCCACAATGAGGATTTTACATGAATCGACATCCTAGTTCCCGAATCATACGCTTGAGGACAGTTTAAAATTGGCGCTGTAACGGAAAATGACATATTTGGAGGTCTTAAATAAATAAAAGTATTAGAATCATAAAGTTCTGCCGTACGTAACATACATAAATAAATAAAACTAAAATGTAAATAATACCGTACTAATTTATTTAATAAATAAATATATTAGAACGATTTACAGTATTTTAATTGATTTAAACAATTGTAGAAGAATTGAAACTGAACTTTAATCAATAAATAATACAAATATTTGTCTCGAGAAATCAATTTTGTAATAGTTATAATAATATATATTCCTTTCTTGATGTGATTTATAAAATTTAATAATGATCAGGCGACTTGGTGATTTTAATTTAATTAATTACGGTGTCCTAAGAACTTACCATCATCTCGGCTTCCATTCCATTAAATTTGACTCAATCCTGATCAAAGGAATCTGGCATTTGTATCCTTGACGTTTATTGTGTATCCTCCTTGCCGGGTGCATCTTATCCAAACAGGATTTTCCGCATTAGACACCTTTTTAAATGCATTACTCGCAGTCGGGTCCCGCATGTCCCGGGACAGTGTCCTTGGCGGTGGTCAGCCAATCATTAATATCCTTGACCAGTCCTGGGACTAGTCTCCGCTAGGTCTCAGCTCTGTAAGAACAATAAAATTTTATTGTAAATCGTTTATCTTCATTACGCGGCCAGCGTCAAAACTCGGCAAATAACCGCAGTTCGAGTTTGGGAAACTGGTTTCCGCCAGCGACCGAGCGAACGGGTTCAAGTGTCCACCCCACCGTGGTCATAATTTTATTCCTAAGCCCAATCTTAACCCATTGCAACCCCTGCAACGTCGCGGAATGCACGAGTGACCCCTTCCGCGTCTTCCTCGCAATTAAGGCCCCTTTGTGCGTCGCTTAGTTTGTCTTTTCATTGCCTTGTACCTTGAGATTAAGCTTTTGTTTTTCCATTTAACGCTTAATTTCGGCATTTTGATGGCCTAACGCGATTTGGACTGACCCCTGGGGAAAGACAGGACGAGGACCAGGAGCAGGAGCAGGATCGGTTACAACTGATCCTTTGAGCAAACGCAACTGACCGCAACTAAACAAACACTTGGCTTGACCAACGGGTTACGCTTCGATTCGCATTTGACTTACGACACAAGAAAATTTTAATTGCATTAGAAAGCCGCTTCCGATCTGCTCTATTGTCTGGCTCTCAAGTTGTTTGTTTTACCAAAAACTGGACAGCTTAACCTTTTCGGTTTCGTTTTTTATACTTTTTCAATTTCCAAGCCATTGTCCGAGCGGTGGTCAGTGATGCACTTTCCTAAGCGGATCGCTTACAGAGGGAATAAAGAAGGCCTTGCCTTCTCCGCTTCGATTTGCATGTTCACGTTTTTCGGCGCTCGTTTTTCGGCAATTTTCGGTTAAGCACTCCCCAAAAAATAACCATTCAGCCAGAAACTCAATTTTGCAGAGATCATAATTCGAAAAAGGTACGTGCGCTGCACGCTTTTTCCACAACAAAGGAACTTGCTGCAATTGCAGGAGGATATTATGTTGACTTTGAATAGTCGCTGAAGGGAATACCCTGGCAAAGTTAATACAAAATATTAAGTATTTAATTCAAGCATAAAATTATTTTAAACACTTTCAACATAGTCTTTTCTACAACAAACATTATTACAAATAAATTTGACAGCCTTTATTTATCTTTTGAAGTACCCTTTGTCGAGGGCACAACCTTTAGAATAATTTGCGTTGGACGCTCCCCTTTCCCCACTCCATTTGCCAATTCAGATTCTGATTTCTGTCCCAATCCTGGCATCCTTCTCAGCCTCCACACAATATTGCGTGACTTTACGTGGGCACCGAAATTGACTTTGATCCGGCACTCATTAGTACTCGCACTGCACTCATCGTCCGCACACGAGACAGAGTCTGCCCAAAAAAATAATATATGTACATATATATGAAATTGCTCAATAAGTTCACACAGCAAAAGCCGACGATGAAGGAGGCTGGAGTTGGATGCCAACTAGGAGTGCCCACATCCTCGCTCCAAGGAGTGGGCGATGAGCTGATCGAGATGAACAAATATGGGTGTAGAGTGGGCATTGTCTTGAATATATAGGATGTTAATCACAGGAAAGAGCTGTACCATGATTTATTGGTATTTAACCATAAAACTATAAACTTAAACCGTTTGCCATGACCAAGAAGAAGTTAGTTTGCTCTCAAAGTTAATTTAGAGTTTGCTTAACTTATTTCTATGGTGTTTCCTACAATGTTTAATTATATAATGTCCAACTTGGCAGCTGAACTGGCAGCACACCTGCAACTTTCATGCAAAATCGTTGCACTTTTGGCCCTCCTTTCGGGGCCTTCGACACGGTTCAAATGCCAAATAGTTCAGCTCAAGAACCACCCGAAATTGCGCGCTTTTTCCGAGCTACGAGCTCCGAGCTCTGAGCCCGTTTCCTGCCCCGTTTTTTGTTGAGCCTTTTGAGCCAAGTCAAGACGTGGAGAGAGGGCCACTTGGCCACCGTTGCGTTACACGGTTCGGCGAGCTCAACGCTCAACGCTCGCACAGCCAAAGCCAAGATGCATAAAGAGGGAAACACCTGATCGAAATTTCAAATTATTACAACGAAATGCGCTAAACATAAGGACACATGGGAGCATAGACATGGCGTAGCATAGCTCGTGCTGCATACAGATGTCCCGCCAAGCACCCCCGATCCCTTCTGCGGCCGGGCCAGGCTTTGGTCTAATGAGCACGGTGTCGCTGCAGCTCTTTGACCTGCCCCCCGCCCCTTTTTCCACACGGAAAAACTTCGACTTGGCCGCTGTAATTACGCGCGGGAAGAAGATAGAGGGTGCGAGAGAGAGAGAGAGAGGGAGGGAGGAGCGCAGAGGCCAAGAAAACTCTTGGCCCATTGAGGGTTGGGGTCGTGGTCGGGGTCACCACGAAATTACAGTGAGGGAAAATAGTCAACTAAAACAAATGCTATACAAAATATGAAAGAAACGAAATGGGACTTAACTTCAATTTAAACAATTGTTTTTCACATTAATTTGTATTTTTTACTTTAATATAAATTAAATTGATATGATAAATATTTAAGGTATATTTATTTAAATACATTTATCCAAAATATCTGTTGTGTGTTAAGTCTATAAATTAAACAATAATAAAGAATTCAAATTTGATTAGAAGAAATGTATGACCTTTTCGGATTAAATTATATTAAATATATGGCTTCTTGCTCACATTAATGCATCTGCTTTAATTTTAAATTGGATAAAGTGGAAAGTACAATTAAATAAATATATTAAGTCATACATATTTTTATAACCTTGTAGGGTATTATAATGTGAAGGAATCATTTGCGACCCTATAAATCATATATATTCTTGATCAGCATCAAAAACTGAGTCGACCTAGCTATGTCCAGATAAAATTTAATTTTTTCAAAAATTTGAAAATTTTATAAGGGGTTACATCATTAAAATTATCAAAAATTCATAAAAATCCTAATTTTTGTAAATTTCAAATAGAGTATGCAGATTTATTTAACTATTAAAAACTAACATAGGAGTGGTTTCTGAATTAAAATTAATGCGTTTTTGGCTGAGTTATGAGTTTTTTAAACTTTGATTTGTCGAATAAATTGTTATATAAAATATCGAAAATATGAATTGACACATTAAAATAATAGAAATTTAAGGCTTTAAATTTAAGTAAGATATTTGGAAAAATATGTATTATAAAAGGCACACTGTGCTAATAACACAATTTCAGTAAAATAATGTAAGTAATAAAATAAACACTACTCATTACGTTTTCTATATTCTAATAAATGTAAATAACTACCAAAAATAAATGATGAGAACAATAAAACCATTCTAAAGAAACTTATTAATCCCATGGAATTTCAAAGAGATAATAATAAGTGATATCCTTTGGGACATCCTGATGAAATTACCTCTTGGTGTTTCAATGTAGTTTTAAGTGTTTATTTCTGTGTCTTTTCTTCAACTGCAGCATGCAGCAAACAATGCACCTGACATCGCCGACTCATTACATTTTCGGCCGCAAGGAAGTTGAGGAAATGGAAATGTGGAAGCGCGTGCTCTCGCCCCATTCCCGAACCCAAACAAACCGAGCCCAAGGGTTACCCACTCCAGGCCAGGCCAAAAGGTCGCCGGCCAAAGGCAGAGTCGAAGTTGAAGGCCCAAACCCAAACCCAAACCCAAGCCCAGAAGACGTTGGCGGTAGTCAGCCAAGCGCTGCAGCTCACAACTTGAGAATAATTTGGTCGCGCTCCGCTGATCGGTCGCTGGCGGTGGTGCATTTCATTCGGAAGTCGGTTAGTTCCCGGCGCACCAACAGTTTTTCCTGGGCCACAGGACAACCCCCGGATCGCAGGGAGTTTTCCAGCGGGACAGCGGGGAATTGGGCGCCAAAAAACAGAACGGAACAGTCAATGACATTGGCCGGCAGGACATATGGCTCGTGGCTCGTGCCAACATCACCATAACAATTAAAATAAAAATATTCTAGGATAACAACCAGGCGAGGGCAACCGTTAGGGCAATGTGGGCGCGGTCGCCTTCGAGTATGCTTACAGATAGGTGAAAATACACATTTTAAACTAGATCGGGGTGGTTTCATCATCGGGTATTAGGCGAGGGAGGCTCGTATCCTTGCCGGCTGCCTTTTAAGGGTTAGACCAACTGACGCGCGCACCCGCACTCGCCTTGCCTTGATCCTGGTTTGTAACGGTCACGCACGCCAGCAAGGACCTCTCATCTGGCCCACACATGGGTGGTGGTTTAAGAGTCCTGCGAGCTTCATGCTGCGCCTTTTCAGTTGGTAATTCTGACCAACTGACTCCTGGCCTCAGACTCCTTGCCTCATTGCCTTTGCCCAAAATGTGACACCCATGTGTGCGACTTTCAGCTCCTTTGCAGCGCGAATTGTTTGCAATTATTAATTTGAAAAACAGGACAAAGGACCCACAGAGACAGAGAGAGATCTCTGTGGGAGGAATGACATATGGCCAGCATTTCAAGTGGAACCAGCTCGGTGGGAAGTTCCGCCCGCTGCTAAGGGAAGTGGAAAGTTCGTTTTCCTTTTATTTTGGGGTGGTCCTGGTTCCTGGCCACCAGCTGGGCCGAGCTTGGGCTGATCATGATCTACATACTACGACGAAAGTCAAGTGGAAAGGTCTGGTATTCGGGGAAATATTTCATCTTTAAAGGAGATGCTCAATAGTAACTGGAATACATGTAATCCTTGCTTAAATACCTCAATGATCCTACAAGTTTTTCCATTAATTTCATCACCAATTACGATTGACATATTCCCAGAGAATTTGCTGCACTTAATGCTCCATTACCGATCCTCCAGATAGTGTTAATGAACTCCAGAGTGCCAAGAGCAGCCATTCGATTAACCAACTGCTATTTTGTTGACATTTCCTTTGCGGGATTCACTGGAACCTGGTTGAATTCGATACATTTTGAGGTCTCCTCCCCAGGATAAGCATAATTTCGAGCTCATATTCAATATTCCCACATTAAGGAGTGCCAGTAGCTGGCAAAGCAGCAGGAAGCTCACATCAATGGACACTTGCAGGGCTT